TTGATCTTCTCAAAGAACCAACTCTTTGTTTCATTGATTCTTTGTAATGTTTTCCTAGTTTCTACTTTATTGATTTCAGCTCTCAGGTTGATTATTTCCTGGCGTCTACTCCTCCTTGGTGAGTTTGCTTCTTTTTGCTCTAGTGTTTTCAGTTGTTCTGTCAGTTCTCAGATTAAATGTTAAAGGATTAAATGGAAGATCAAATTTAAGATTATATTCAGGTTACTGGAGGCCTTAAAAGACAGACTAAAAATACTGACTTCTATGGACAGTAGTGGGTCATTAACTAACATAGTGTCTCCTGTCTTTCTGTCTCTGAGAATGACACTGTATCTGAGGGCTTTTATTTTTTTGGAGGGGGGTTATTTTGGAGACAGGGTTTCTCTGTGTAGCTTTGGAGCCTATCCTGGCATTCGCTCTGGAGACCAGGCTGGGCTCGAACTCACAGAGATGCACCTGTCTCTGCCTCCCGAGTGCTGGGATTAAAGGTGTGCGCCACCAATGCCCGGCTGATCTGAGGTTTTATGTAAACAATATAGCATTTGTTCTAGGTAATGCAGACATTAGACAACAAAGTACTATAAACACTAATTACAATATTGATTACTTGAGAGTGCTATCTTGGTAAGAGATCTTTCCTGAAGATATAACAAAGTAAAGAATGGGTGGGAGGCTGAGCATTGGTGGCGCATGCCTTTAATCCCAGCACTCAGGAAGCAGAGGCAGGTGGATCTCTGTGAGTTTGAGACCAGCCCGGGCTACCAGAGCTAATTCTGGGACAGCCTCCAAAGCCACAGAGAAATCCTGTCTCAAAAAAAAAAAAAAAAAGGAAAAAGAAAAAGAATGGGTAGGAATTGGATAGTCGCTATGGATTAACTCTTTATGCAAACAAAATCTATATGTGTTGGGTGGGGTGTTCTGTGTTTGCCTGTGTGGGTAGAAGAAAGAGATCCAGATGAAATTTTTAGACCTGTGTGGCAGCAGGGAGGTCCAGGCTCTGATGGACTGAACCTTGAACAGCCATACAAAGGCATATTTATTGATTGTTATACAAAGTTTTTTTCAGATAAAGTATTTCCTCATACCAAGATCCCTAATATAATCTATGTTTTTCTAAAGGGGAGCATCACATAGCCCTGCTACTTCAGTCTGTATTGTGTATTGTTTACAGTGCACAGTAATCCAAGAGCTTCAGGTGTGCCATAGCATCTTGTGACCAAAAATGCCCCTCGGAAAAACAAAAGACAAATCACAGCAAGCAATCACTGTTTTCCACAATTGATCTTCAAGATCAAAGTACTTCTAGAAAACAACTATTCACTCTAATGTTTACCTTAGATACCCGTGAAAACTGTTTATTCTGATGTTTGCTCTAGTGACTGCTAGATTCCTACAAGACCTCCACGTAGGTGTCATTTAACTTCTACAATTTGCTTTGCCCCATCCATTCCCTTCCCCTCTGTTTTGTTTAAAGTACAATGCAAATGGCTGTCATTTCTTCTGTAACTGTTGTTACCTTTAGAATTCCCTAGATTTACATGTATGAGCTGCAATGTCATTGTGTTGTTATTCAACATTTTCATCTATTTTTTGTAAATTTTGATTATATTAAGAGCTACTATGCTTAGTAGAAATACCATGTGAACTACAAATAGTTTTAAATTTCTAGTAGCCATAATAAATTAACAACTAAGAAAAATTAATTATAACTACATTTCCTTTAACATGTACAAAACAGTATTATTTCAACATATATCAGAAAATTTAAATTATTAATAGCCTTATATTCTTTATTGTCACATTGTCTTTGAAATGCAGTATGTCTTTTATAATTTATAGTACATTTTTGTTAGTTGCATTTAAGGTGGTGTGTTACCATGTGTGGTTACTGAAATACACAGTACGAATCTGGAGGCTTGATTAGTAAAGATTTAAGTTTAGTAATTTTGGGACATAACACCAAAATATAGCTTGTTCTTTCTCCCTCGTTCTCGTCCTTCCTCCTTTCCCTCTGTCTTTTCTTCCTCTCTGTTCTTTTTCTCCTTCTCTCCTTCCCTTTTCTTCCCTCTCTCTCCCTTTCCCCCATAATTTGCTTATATTTTATTGAATAATTTATCTGTTGATTAGTACCTCAAGAGGATGGGGATGAATGAGTAATACAGCATGTCAAATGCTCACAGGCATCAAAAACAGAAAGACACAGAAAAAGTGACCTAAATCCACATATTTATTTATTTATTTATTTATTATGTATACAACATTCTGCTTCCATGTATATGTGCACACCAGAAGAGGGCACCAGATCTCATAACAGATGGTTATGAGCCACCATGTAGTTGCTGGGAATTGAACTCAGGACCTCTGCAAGAGCAGTCAGTGCTCTTAACCTTTGAGCCATCTCTCCAGCCCCAGAAGGCCACATTTTAAATTAAGAATAAGTTGGCTGGGCTTGGTAGTGCGTACCTTTAATTTCAGTGTTAAAGAGGTAAAGCAAATCTGTGAGTTAGTTCAAGAGCCTGGACTACATAGAAAGCTCTAGGGCAGCCAGTGTTGCATAGTGAGACCCTGTCTCAAAAATAGAGATGTCTAGCAGTTAAGAGAGCAAACTGCTCTTGTAGGAAATGTCTGACACCCATGTGGGGACAGCTCACAACTGCCTTTAACTCCAGTTCCAGTCTTCTTCTGGCCTCCTAGCATACCTGCATAAATGGTACACACATGCACACACTTCAAATAAATCTTTAAAAAAACGTTTTAAAAAGGGTTGGTATGTTGGTGGTTTCTGTTTTCAGCCAACTTTCTCACCTTCTTTGTCTTCCACCCACACCAGAACCAAAAACAAACGAGGACTAGTAGTAGTAATTTAACTTTTTAGAAAACGAACCTAACAGATAGTGAGCTGAGTGATGTGGAAATTTAGAGATTTAGTAGTAATATTGAAAACCAGAAAGTATGAGTATGACTATGAAGAAATGGAAAATTGAGTGGGATAAACAATGGGAACACTGAGAACCATGGTATTTAGAACCCTGAATATTTCATGGCTTGTGCATGTTAGTTACCTTTTTCATCACTATTACAACATGCCTGGGTGGTGGTGGGGACTTCAGGCCTTTGATAAGCCAGAACTGAGATGAAAGAGCATGGCTAAGGAAAGCTGTACCCTTCTTTACAATCAAGAAGCACAGGGAGAGACAGGAAAGGGCCCTTGGGCAAGATACTCCCTTCCCAGACTTGCCCCTAGTTACCTGCTTCCTCCAGGTGGGCCTACCTGCTAATATCTTGTTTAATATAAACTAAATGGGTTAACCCATCGGTGAATGATGCAGTCACCTCTCAATAGTGCCACCAGCTGTGGACTAGGCCTCAAAACATGCGACATTTCATGTGAGATTTCATGTCCAGACCACAATAGTGGTGAACAGTGATGGTGGTAAGAATGATAAGTCCCCCTGAACTTCAGTCATCAAATGAAGGAGAGGCCCCTGACCTCACTAAAACAGTGGACAACTAGCTAGGTGGTTGAACTGTAACTGCACAGAAATTTTCACCAATGCAGGAATGATGGCCCTTTGAATATATATTAACTATTGATTTAAGAGTTGTAGAATCTCAGAGAAGAATTTTTGTTTGTTTGTTTTTGAGTTTCTCTATGTAGATCTGGCTGTATAGGAACTTGCTCTGTAGACCAGAGATCTGCTTGCCTCTGCTTCGGGAGTACTAGAACTCAAGGCGTGCCCCACCGCACCCAGCTGAGAAGAGTCTCTGTCTGAGGATGTCAGGCTGAGGTTCCTTAGAAGATTTAATAATTCAGTGAGAAGAATTTCAGGGGTTTTCATGGTTGAATCAAGCAGGAGCTTTACATGATTATTAGAAATTTCCATAAATGTGGGTTTATATAAAGGGAATATAATATAGGTGAGTATAAAGCAATGTTTGTTATGACATTAGTTCCTCTTTAAAATTTATTATAATTCTTTTTTTTTTCAGGTTTTGTAAAAAGTCGGGATCGTGCCTATATGAAATTCTATGCCCTTCTAGCCAAAACACAGATGTTTAGTCGTTTCATTGAGGAATGCAGCTTTGTAAGTGATAAAGATACTGGATTAGCATTTTTTGATGACTGCATTGAAAAGGTAAAATTTTGTTTTATATCCCAACTTTAAGAAAAAACACTTTGGTTTAGCTTTATAATAATAGGGGTTTTTAGCTCAAAATAATCTGTTGAAGGTGGGTGTGTGTGTGTGTGTGTGTGTGTGTGTGTGTGTGTGTGTGTTTGTGTAAAACACAGATCTTTCCTCTGTCGTGTCTTCTTGCTGTTATAATTGACTTACTTTTCTCTCTGAGCCTATTAGAGGTAAGGATGTAACCTTGCTGGGTGGTGGTGGCTCAGACCATTAATCTCAGCACTCGGGAGGCAGACACTGATGGATCTCTCTGAGTTCGAGGCCAACCTGCTCTACAGAGCAAGTGCCAGGTCAGGCTCCAAAGCTACACAGAGAAACTTTGTCTTGAAGGAAAAAAAAAAAGTATGCTTACATTTGTAAGTTTTAGTGTTTTTTGTTTGTTTGTTGTAGGTAGATTTTTCTTTGGGCTGTCAGCTCATAAATAGTACCTTGGAGACATTAATTACGAAAGATCTGCCTATAGCTTAGGCTTGTCCCCACTACCTCTTACAACTTGTTAGCCCATTTCTATTTATCTATGTTGCCACATGAGTTGTGGCTTTTACCTCTCCTCTTGCATGTCTTGCTCCCTGTGCTTCTGGCTGGCAATTCCAACTTTCTTCTTCTCAGAGATCTCTGTCTAAAAGTCCTGCCATACCTCCTTCCTAGCTATTGGCCATTTAGCTTTTTATTAAGCCAATCACAGTGACACATATTCATACTATAAAGGAATTATTTCACAACAGTTTGTTTCAGCTAAATGAACAGGATATGACTAGTTTTATTTAAAAAGCTATGGGTTTTACGCATAGTGGTACACTATATCTTCTTGCTTTACTTGTCTTTCTGAATACTTTGCTAATATCTTTAAGGCTTTCTTGTTATTGTTCAAGGTTTTTTTTGAACTAGTCTTTTGTGAGCCAGGCTGGTTTTGAACTTGCTACGTAACTAAGAGTGACTTGAACTCCTTATCCACCTGCCTCCACCTTCCAAGTGGTTTCAAAGTTTTTCTAAATAGATTTAGGAACCATCTGTTTACACAAATTATATAAAGATTTGGGATTGTATCCATGAATGATTATTATGTTTTAATTCTTATTGTCCTTCAGTAATTCATATGCCTTAGAAACCATGTTTGATAAGGTTTGTTTATGAAATAACCAATAAAAGTCAAGTATGATGACACATACCTACCCCTGCTTGAGAGGCTAAGGCAGGAAGATGAGAAGTACATGGCCAGCCTACACTACACAGCAAGTTCAGGGCCAGCTGTGGCTACACAGTAAGATCTGTCTCGAATAGTGAAAAAGAGGAAGGTTAGGAAGGAAAGAAAACTAAAGAAAAGGAATAACCCGTTGTGTAGTCTTTAAATCTAAGCATATAGGACCTAATTCTGAAATGTCTTTGTGTATACCTGGTATTTTTTTAAAAACGTTTTTTTGTATGTGTGAGGTGTTTTGCACACGTGTGTGGTGGCGTACATGTGCAGAGGCCAGAGGATCTTGTTGGGTGTCCTGCTGTAGCACTCTCTGCCATCTTCCTTTCTCCCTGCACTGGGGTAATAGGCATGTATATCTGCCCTGTTTCTCATGTGGGTACTGGGATCCAAACTCAGATCTTTGTGCTTATATGATGAAAGTTTGTAACTACTGAACCATTTCTCTAGCTCTGAGTTTTTCTTTAAAAAAAAAAGAAAATCAAGATTAAAAATTTTTAAAAAACATTGAATTCAGCAGAGGTTTTAAGAATTTCTCTTTTCCTCTTCCAGTTGTTTCCAGATAAAGGTGTAGAGAAAACAGACAAGGTATGATTTTTTTTCTTAGTTGAAATGTCAAAGTTCAGAATTAGATAGTGCTTATATGTACATTAATTGGAGAACATACTTATTTTCAGGTTGATTTGGATTCAGCAGAAGACACCAAATTGATAGAGCTAGATGATTCACAGAAGAGTGAGCACACTGTATTTATAATGCCACCTGAGCCTCCTCCTGATGATGGAAATAACTTGTCACCTCAGTACAGGTAGCATGAACTTTTTCAGACATAAACTTGGACATCGTTCAGACAGTTTATTTCAGTTTTTGCCATTACCAAGACATGGTAATTTGTGTAGGTAGTTTTCAGTGTAAATCATATGAACATTCTATGGAGTTGCCACCAGGCATTGCAGTGTAAGAATGAATGGTCTTACTGGAAGGGAAGTCAGACATTAATATTGATAATTTAAGTGTTTCCTCATATTTCAGTCTTTAGCATTTCTGAAGAAAAAGTTTTGGGTTTAGTTTTTGGGGTTTTTGTTTTTGAGATTCCCTACAAACTTTAGGAGTTTTAATCCTGTGGAATTTTTGAGTTAGTGAGATAGGATTTGGATAAGAATCTTTTCAGAAATTACAATGAATTCATTTTCGTTTTATAATCATCATAGTATATAGTTTAATAAACTTTAAAAAATAAATAGGAAATCTAACATAATTTTAGTACTAATATTTAGATTTATTAATAACTTTAGGTATGTGTATAGATTGATTAGATGAATTCATTTGCCTTTAATGACAGGTCTGAACATTCTTCCATGCCATCAAAATTTTTCCTGTCTTATGATTTTAATGATCACATTGTATGTAGTTACTTAATTTACCTTGTTTCCTGTGGATTTGTTCATAGTTCTTTCTATCTTTGCCGACACATGTTTTTGTTTGTTTGTTTTAGGCTATATTTCTATAATAATTATCTAAGGAAAAGTCAAAGACCTTTGCAAAGGGACTATAATCTCGGTAGGGCAAAGTGAGACTGAATTATACCTGCAATTGAATATCTTACTCAAATGCTAGTTTGATTTCATACTGTAGAATTCATGTTTATTTGACTTGTGTGGTTGAGGCTTTTAGCTCTGACAAATAAGTCACAGTTGAGTAGGGAAAGACAAGTTTTCCAAGAAGAAAATTTGCCAAAGTAAATCAATAGACAGTTTCTGAGGAGAGTCAGTCAAGTAAAAACAAAAGAAACAAACAAACAAAAAAAACAAAAAAACACTTAGCTTTTCTAGCATTCAAAGAGATGCACATCAAACTGTTGAACAGAAGCTTTTTAACTTACCCAAGTAGAGGCTAGGCTATGCTACTGGCGCGTTTGATAATATATCCATTTTTGAAGTCATCTACTATTGATAAATTCAATTCTTTCCATCAGTGGTGGTGCACACCTTTAATCCCAGCACTCAGGAGTCAGAGGCAGGTGGACTTCTTTGAGTTTGAGGTCAGCCTGGTCTACAGAGCAAGTTTCAGGACAGCCAGTGCTACATAGAGAAACCCTTACTTGTTGGGGAGTGGGGAGAGAATAAGTCCAATTCTCTTGAGAAACACTGGTTTGGTTTAGTATTCATTTTAAGAAATTAAATAAAATTGTTAACAAAGATACATATACAAAGACAGTTAATTGATGATATTCTGAAGTAACTGAATAATATTCAACAGTGTAAAGAACTCGTTAAATATATCTCTCAAATAAGACTGTAGTTTTTGTTTTGTTTTTTTTTTTTAATACTGACAAACTAATGTCTTAAAAAACCTTGATTATAAAATATACTATCTGGTATTTTTAAATATAGTTATCCTTGAACATATGGATTTTACTGAAAGAGTTTCTGTTTTTAAGTAAGATGTCATGGATTTTTCTTTTTAGAAACTGTTTAAAAATAACAGATTGGTGGGAGCAGCTAGAGTTCCAGTTAGGATAATCTGTAGCTTCTAACTGTGTTTTCTCATATTTTGAAACAAATTGTAAGTTTTCAAGAATTTTATTGGAAATTTGAGGTTTAGAAATTTTTATCTGAATACTGAGTAGTTGAAGAAATTGATGGAATTTAAATAAGCAGTTCTATTTTTGCTTTTTATTTTAGTTACACATGCTTTCCAGTACTGGATCTTAAGCTTTTTGACAGCCCCCAGGAGCTGAAACTGTGCTTCAGTAGACATCCTCCTGGGAGTAGCATTACAAACAGCCCTGCTCTCATGGCTAAAAGAACCAAACAGGTCAGACCTTCCTTACCAAACCCTTGTTCAGTGAAAATATAAACTGTATATGTGACATGCAACTTGTAGTACTGAATCCTGAGCAGCTATCTGAAGGCCACTGTGCTTGTCATGTGTTAAACTCTGTTTCTTGTACCCTACTTGATTTTAAAGCTGAAGTTCAAAGTGCTCGTTTATATTTAAAAGGAGGCTTGGGAACCAAACATACCGTAAGAAAAAATGTAACTTTCCTGGACATGGTGGCACACGCTTTGAATCCCCGCACGAAGGAAGCAAAGACCAGAGAATCAGTATGAGTTTGAGGCCAGCCTGGTCTATACATCGAGTTCCAAGCCAGCCAGAACTACATAGTGAGGCCCTGTCTCAAAAATTAAAAGAAAGAAAATAAAAGGTATATAACTTAGCCTGGCCATAGTGGCACATGCCTTTAATTCCAGTTCTGGGAGGCAGAGGCAGGCAGATCTCAAGAGTTCCATATAGATACAACTTTATTGTGATATAATTCATATACCGCACAGTTTACCCACTTAAAGTATATATCATTCAGTAGCTTTTCTTCTACTCTGGGACTTTTAATGTGTTCTCAATGTTATGCAGCCACCACTTCAGTTAACTTTAGAAATGCAAATAACCCCAGAAGAAAAACCCACACATTTTAGCCATTAGCTACCACAGCCTTTTTCCCACAACCTTTAGTAATCACTAATCGGTTTTCTGCCCCCACAGGTGCAGTATATCTATCCTAGGCATTTCATATAAATAGAATAATGCAGCAGTACTTTATGATTGTCTTCTTTAACTTAGTATAATCTTTTCATCCTCTGGCAAGCATTAATGCTTCATTTTGACTGAATAGTATTCCATTGCATACACATAGCAGTTTATCTGTTCATAGACATGCAACAGTTCTTACTTTTGGCTACTATGAATAATGTTGATGTAAGCTAATGTGTGTGTTTGCCAAGTGGATGTATGTTTTCATGTCTTTCTAGTATATCTAGGAGTAGAGAGAGAAGCTATATTTATTTTGTGGTAATTCTCTGTTGACTCTTGAAGAAATGCTAAGCTGATTTCCAGAATGGCTATACTATTTTACATTTCCATTAACATTGTTCAAGGGGTCAGATATTACAGTATCATTTTATATCAGTTCTAATATCTGCCTTTTAAAAATTACTGCCCTCTGATAAATATGAAGTGATACTTCACTGTAGCTTTGATTTGTATTTCCTTTGTGTCTTATGTACAGCACAACAAAATTCCATAAAAGGGAGTTAAACACAGGACAGCTTAGATAGATCTCTTACTGTAGCAGCATCTGGTTTAGGAATAGTGGATTAATCTATGCTGAGGTACATTAAAATAACATCCTTTATACACTGATATGTTGAGGTTCTTCATAATAAACTAAAATTGTGGCAAATGTTTTGCCTTAGCCTCCTGAGTATTGGGATTACAGGTACAAGCCACAGTATCTAGCCTTGGACCAGTTATTTTTAAAGACCTACTTAGTGAGAGAATTAATGTAGACAATAAACTCAGAAGGGAGAATTAAGTGGAAATCTTGTCAGGAAATACCCTTGGGCACCTTAATGGTTAGTAGTGAGAAGAATGAGAAAAATATTGCTTAAGACCGAAGAAGGCCTGGCAAAAGGAAGGTACTTGTTGTGCAAGCCTGGGGACCTGAGCTTATCCCCATAGTCCATCTAACGGTGGAAGAAAGAATGATTCCTCAGTGTTGTTCTTGGACCCCTGCACATACCCATGAGTCGTGACCCATGTGCATATACCCATTTTACACACATTCGCAAGCTAAAAAGTTAGGAGAGCCAGACACCATGCTGCATGCCTGTAATCCCAGCATTTGGGAGGTGGAAGCAGGAAGATCAGGAGTTAAAATGGATATCATACACTTGCCAGTTGTAGAATTGTATAAAATATTACTATAAACCAGGATTTTTTTAACATTTTTTCACTTGCCATCCCTTTTTACCTGAGAATTTTTATATGACTCTAGGTATCATAAAATTTTTTAAAATTATATGTATATATGTGTGTGTAAATTTACTTTATATTAACATCAGAACAAATTTACATGCTAATGAAATGAATGTCCTTGTTTATTTTTACATGAAGAATTAAATCTTGACTGAATAATGTTGCAGAATATACAGCATACTCAGTATTTTGCAGAGTTGATCAATACTTTGGTTTTATACTTTAGTGCTAAAAATGCCACTTTACATAAAATATATAGTACAGAATAACAAAAGTGTGTTTAGGATCAGTCCAGAAGTTATTGGAAATTTTGTCCTAATTCTAAGCCAAAAGTCATTCAATGACTTTTTTTTTTTTTAAATAAAACTCAAGTCAGCAGCCCATATAACAGTTTTTAAAAGTAAAACATTGTGATGTAGTACAGTCCAAAAGTAAAACTGGATATAGCTCAGTTGGTGACATGCTTGGTCACATGTGGACCAGAGTTCTTGCCTCAGGGCCCACATACAGAGCCAGGTGAGCTGGTGCACATTTGTAATCTCAGTACTGAGGAGGTAAAGAGGAGAGAATCCCCAGGGCTTGCTGGTCAGCTAGCCTTATCTAATCACAGAGGCCCAGGCCAATGGGAGAGCCTACCAGAAAAATAAAAAAAATAAATAAAACCCTGAGTGGATAATACATGAGGAGTGTTCTCACAGAATTCAGTCATATGTGGATTTTAGACATAGTAAGGGATTACCATCCTACAATCCATACTGCCAGAGAAACCTGTAAACAAGGAGGACCCTAAAAGAGACAGACTTTGTCCCCTGGAGAAAGGGGAAAGAGTCACCATCCCCTGAGCAAATTGAGAACATGGGAAGAAGGGAGATGAAGCAACGAGAGTGAGAAGGGAAGAAAAGTAAGGATGCAAAGGTCATGAGGAAGCAGAAATTTTGAGTCAGGTGTAGATTAGAAGAAAGGACATATGATAGGTAGGATTTTAGTTGGGGGGGTGGTAGAGGGAGAAGGGAACTGAGATCGTCTTGTAATTTAATCTTGTTTGTAATTCAAATATATAAAAAATAAAAAAACTAAAAAAAAAAAAAAACAAATAAACAAACAAAAAAAGCATGAAAAAAAATACATGAGTAGTGACACCTGAGGTTGACCTCTGGCCTCTACATGTGTATGCACACATACAAATATGAGCATATGCCCCGCATTCTTATTTGATGTTTACATACTAAGGAATTGTGATAGGGAAATGGTAAGCTTTTTTTTTCCCCCTGCAGTTAAGCTGTCTTGTTTCTATAAGAGCAAGGAACTACATGTGTTGTAAAAACATTGGATTCCTAACATTCAATTGTATTGAATAGCAGCAGTAAAGGCATTTCAGACACTTGTGTTGGCATTTGCGATGTGATGGAGCACAGTGAGCATTCAGAAACACCTTGGGATCTTCACACATCTGATTGAGAGTTAGTCTTTGGCCATTGTGTACTCAGACATTTTACCATTGCCATACTTTTCATGTCTCTCACATTCACTTACACAACTCCATTTGGGTTTATGACCCATGGTTTAAGAAGCTGGGCTATACTGGTCTACAAGAGCTAGTTCCAGGACAGCCTCCAAAGCCACAGACAATCCCTGTTTCAAAAAAAAAAAGAAGCTGGGCTATAAACCAAAGTTCATGGAATCATGTGGCACAGATTTAAGACTATAAAATGCTTCATTTTTAAAGTCTAAGTTTACATTAAGAATTTCCCTTGTTTTTATTCTTCACTCACTGTATTTATTTTCTTTATAGGAGATAAAAACAGCTCATAAGTTGGCAAAGAGATGTTATATGAATCCACCACAATGGGCCAAGTGTCTCTTCAGTCATTGTTACAGCTTGTGGTTTATCTGTCTCCCAGCCTATGTTAGAGTTTCTCACCCTAAGGTCAGAGCACTCCAGCAGGCATATGATGTACTTATTAAGATGAGGAAGACAGATGTGGATCCACTAGATGAGGCAAGTATAAGACACACTATTGTTACCTTTTAATTTTTATTTATTTTTTTTGCAATGTAGTTGATGAATTCAGGGTCTTGCTGTGCTTGGCAAGTGAGCTATATTCCTAGCCCATGCCAGTACATATAATTCTGTAATTTTAAGTGTTTGGGTCTTGCCAGTTATGGTGATACCTGATTATAATCCTAGCAATTGGAGGCCGAGGCAGGAGATTGTCCCCACTTTCAGGCTGGCATACCCTGGGCTACAGAGCAACACCCAGTCTTAAAAATAAAAAACAAAAAGGAAGGTAGGAAAGTTAGTTAATTTAGTTCTTAGTCAGGTGGTCATGGTGGCACAGGCTTTTAATCCCAGCATTTGGAAGGTAGAGGCAGATGGATCTCTGAGTTCAAGGCCAGCCTGGTCTACACAGTGAGTACCAGGACAACCAGTGCTTCACAGAGAACGACTATCTTGAAAAAACAAACAGAAAAATTAGCTTAGTCATTTTACAGCATGCCCAGTCATTTTCATGAAGTACTTATGGTAAAATTATTCTGTTTATTGGTGCTAATATATATTGTTTGTTCAGAATACTAAAAGTTATTGCTTTGGCCAGGTGTGATAATACACACACCTTTAATCCCAGCAGTTGGCCAGCCTGATCCACAGGGTAATTTCAAGGTCAGCCAAAACTACATAGTAAGACCCTGTTTAAAATAAATAAACCCCAAACAGTTGATAGACAAATCATGCCTGGTTTATAGTTAGCATTTAGTAAATAATGTGTTAGATGTCATTCTGTATTCTTTCTCTCTCAAGCCTAAGATCTGCTGTAAGAAATATATCATCCAGCTGGAATTTGGAGAACCTGGGGCACTTAGCTTTTCTCTCTGTTCTCCACTTTGAAAGCCCTTCCCTTCCCTTCCCTTCCCTTCCCTTCCCTTCCCTTCCCTTCCCTTCCCCCTTCCCTTCCCCCTCCCCTTCCTCCTTCCCTTCCTCCCTCCCTTCTCCCTTCCCTTTTCCCTTCCCTTTTCCCTTCCCTTCCCCCTTCTCTTCCCTTATCCCTTCCCTTTTCCCTTCCCTTCCCCCTTCCTTTCCCTTATCCCTTCCCTTCTCCTTTCTCTTCCCTTTTCCCTTCCCTTTTCCCTTCCCTTTTCTCTTCCCTTCTCCCTTCCCTTCTCCCTTCCCTTCCCTTTTCCCTTCCCTTTTCCCTTCCCTTTTCCCTTCTTTTCCCCTTTTCTCTTCTCTTCTCTTCCCCTCCCCCTCTTCTCCCCCTCCCCACACAGGGTTTTTGTGTGTAGCCCTGGCTGTCCTGGAACTCACCCTGTAGATCAGGCTGGCTTCAAACTCACAGAGATCCACCTGCTTCTGCCTCCAAAGTGCTATACTTAAAGGCATGCAACACCACCACCTGGCCTTTTTTTTTTTTTTTTTTTTTTTTTTGGGCTTTTTGGCAGATTTTTTTATTATGTAGACCAGACTAACCTTGAACTGAGTGAGAGATCTACCTGCCTCTGCTCCTGCCTTCAGAGTGCTGGGATTAAAGTTATGAGCCACCATGCCTGGCCTGGAAGTGATTTTTGGTGTTACAGTAGTTATAAATGATACTCAAACAAGATTAGGATTTAACATAAAAGTTGTCTTTGCTAATAATATTGCATTGTATTTAATTTTCTTCCTTCCTGCCTTCTGAGGATTGAACCTTCTGGGGATTGAACACAAGCTGGCCGAGGGCTCTGCTACTGAAATAACTTCCTATGCCTCTGCCAATCTTTTTATATTAGTTTATGAACCCCATCTGTTAAACAGGCATCCTGAAGCTACTGTTCATTTAACATAGAATGTAAAGCATACTTATTGGGGCAAAAGGTACTTAACCATATATTTGGTTTTAGAAGTGAATTCTCTTTTACATTATGGAGAACAGTAGTGATTTTCCTAATATAGATTTATTTTCTCAAGCAGATAAGATGTGCCTGAAATAGTTAATGCTGTTGATTATTTGTTAGATTGAATAGGGTTTTTTTGCTGTTGTATTTTATTTATTTGTTTGTTTTCTAGGACAAGAGTATTTTGTAACCCAGGCTATCCTGGAAGTCACTATGTATGGGAAAATGGCCTTGAACTCTTGCCTCTGCCTCCCACATAAGCACCACGCCTGAGTCTTTAAAATCTCTGTAAGTCACAAGTAAACTAAAGACTAATGCTTTGTCGTCCTCTTGGTAGGTGTGCTATCGAGTAGTGATGCAGCTTTGCGGACTTTGGGTTCATCCTGTTTTAGCAGTGAGAGTCTTATTCGAAATGAAAACTGCTAGAATAAAACCAAATGCTATTACTTACGGCTATTATAATAAGGTAAGTTGAATTAATATTAAGCAAAGCAGTATATTTTTTAAGTTTTTTTATTATTATTTGTTAAACTTTAGTTAAGAATAGGTTATTCTACTATCTTCATTGAGAGAAATTGTATGAATTGTGTACAACATGTTTTGAAATGGTATATATTTTGGGATGGCTCCTTCGATCTAATTAACATATTATCTAATTTACTAATTTTTGTGGTGAGAACACTTAAAATCAACTCTTACCAATTTTCAAGATGAATTCATTGTTAATAACTATAGTTGCCATGTTGGCAATAGGTCTCTTAAATTTATTCCTCCTGTCTAATCATAGACCAATATCGCTTTACTGCTCCCCACCCTGCCCCGTGTTCACCTCTTGGATTCTATGTGAAAGGCAAGCTCCTATAATCCACCTGTGTCACCTAACGTAATGTCCTCAGGACTCCCCCGGATTATTGTGACAAGGTTTTTTTCTTTTTGTTTTTTTGTTTTTTTTTTTGTTTTGTTTTTTTTTGTTTTAAGCTTAGTGTTTCATTGTCACGTTTCACGTCACATTGTCCTTATCCATTCTTCGACATTTAGGTTGGTTCCCTTTCTTGCCTACAGTGAACTTGGGGAGTACAGATACCTATGTGAAATACTGATTTCACTTCCTGTGGATTTGTATTTAGTAGTTTTTAGCTTTTAAGGAACTTTCATATTTTCCACTATGGGCTCACTAATTGATACTCCACTCCCACCATGGTGCAAATTTCTCTCTTCTCCACATACTTGTTAACATGTATCATATTTTTCTTTTCTTAAACTTAATTTTTAAAAAATTTAATTTATCTTAATTTTAGTTTGTTTGGTTTTTTTTTTTTTAATTTATTTGTGTGCTGGTCAGAAAACAACTTTTGGTTTTTTCCTCCAGCTTAGGGATCTGGGGTATCAGGCATGTAGCATGCTTGTTACCCACTGAGACAGCTCACTGGTCCTAAATAACTTTTTTTGTTTTGTTTTTAACTTTAGGTAGTTTTGGAGAGCCCATGGCCCAGCAGTACTCGCAGTGGTATTTTCTTATGGACGAAAGTTCGGAATGTTGTACATGGTTTGGCCCAATTTAGGCAGCCACTTAAAAAGACTGGGCAAAAACCACAGGTCTTTTCAATATCAGGTAATACATGTGATTGGAAAGATGTTTTTAACTATAGGTTTATAAACATGAAGTTTTAATTTTATGAAGTAGAGAGCTTAATTCTTTTTGATACTTTCATTTATAACTACAGATAGATTTCCTTATGTTTTTGTCACAGAAATCTGCAAATTGTTTTGTAATTATAAATTAACTGTGGGTCATTCATGTTTAGTTTCAGAGGTATCAGTACATGAATTATTTAACTACATTGTCCTTATCTTCAGCTCCTCAGAATGCTGCAGGTGGAAGTGATGGGGACACAGTGAGCCATGGTAGTGTGGATAGTTCTAATGATGCTAACAGTGGGGAGCACACAGTCTTCGTCAAAGACTTAATCAGCCTTGATTCCATTGATAATCACTCTAGCACAGGTACTAAAATCTGTATTCTACTAACCTTTCATTTACAGCCATGTCAGTGTTTCTTTAAAATAAGAAAGCAAAACAAACCAAACTACGCTTCTTGACTTTTCATAACGGGAATGCTTTGAAAATAGTATATATCACTTTGAGGGTTATGCTTCTGCACTTCCTGGATTGTGAAATTGACTTTGGGGTGCAGTGTACAGTGCACTAGCATGATATGTGTATATTCGTTCACCTAGTAAACTTGAACATTCTGATACAATTTATAAACCCTTTTTTCATTAAATTGGAAGTTTAATCAATAATTTTGAAATTATGGCTACCAGAAAAGGGAAGAAAATAAGTGATTTTGAAAAAGGATGTGTACAGTCAGTACTTCTCATTGTAGAAGCTGCTTACATGTATATAGCCACAGGCACCATGACAGTCTTGAAGTCAGAGTGACTGTAGTGGGATGAGAGCCCACTGGGCAGGTGTATGTCTGCACATCCTCTCTGTGTGTGTTGTCTGGTTGCTGGTGTTCAATACCCTTTAAAGAACTCCTAGTCTAGTTCCTGTGCTTCCTCTGATGAGCTTGTCTCGATGACTGAAGTTTCCTTTTCTCTGCTCCTTGTTGCTCTGCTTTTCTCTCTGTGCTGTGTCTTGGTGCTGCATTAGTCCTGGGCTGTCAAGGTGTGGGGCAGACAGACTTGTGAACTGAAGCTGTGGATACACGTGTGCTTTAACTCTACCCTTGAATGTTAACCACTTCAGGTAATTTCCCATTTATTAGGTTAAAGTTTGCTGACACTCAAGGGTGGGGGAAAGATAGTTGATTGTATTTTAAGGGACAATTTTTAATTTCTTGACTTCTTCTTTAGATAAGGATAACCATATCAAAAGTCTCCATGTGATAATTTATGACCAGTTTACAAATATTTATTGTCTCACTTAGAAATAAAGTATATTTTTTCTGTAATGATAATTTTAAGATTTGTTTGTAGTATCATTGCATGAAATGGTGTCATGGGTATGAAAGAATTCATTGTTCAGTTGTTGAGGTGCTTACTGCTTTCCTGAAGTCTGCTTAGTTTTTGTGCCTGAAACTGTCTTGCTGCAATTACAGGAGTGAAGACAACGTGAGCCTATAGGTTGCCATCTTCTTAGTGATTAACCTTTTCAACTCTGTAACTTAGCAAGAAACTTTTGTGGGACTTTTATTTTTTTAATATTTTATTTGTTTTTATTTTATGTATATGGGTGTTTGTCTCTGTGTTACATGTGTGCACCATGTATGTGTCTGGTGTCTTGAGGAGGCCAGAAAAGACACTGAGCTACTGTGTGGGTACTGGATCCTCTGCAAGAGCAGGAAGTGCTCTCAACTGCTGATCCTCTCTCTTATCCACCTCCCCCTGGGACTTTTGTTTGAAAGCTATCTTAAAACTAGCTTGTTTTGTTTCCTCTGTTTTATTTTTCCAGATATTTTTTATGTTAAATTTTTATTTGGTATTTTATTATATATTATTTGGACAAAATAATGTTTCTCATTATGATTTCATATGAACATACAGTTTTTTAAATATTTCTTTACTATGTATATAGTCTTCTGCCTTCATGTATGCCTGCATGCCAGAAGAGGATGCCAGATCTGCATGCCAGAGGATTACAGATGGTTGTGAGTCACCATGTGGTTGCTGGGAATTAAACTCAGGACCTCTGGAAAAGCAGCCAGTGCTTTTAACCTCTGAGCCGTCTCTCCAGCCCTCATGAATATATAAAGTTATTTTGAAATTACTTTATTTATAAAAAAGACCAAGTATGTAATTTTGTTATAAACTCAGTTTACAAGGAATACTGATAACAAGAGATACATCCTCATTTTCCTTATTCCTCAGATTTTTAAAACTTATAAAGGCAATTTAATCTTTTACTGAAAACAAACAAAAACCAGTATCCTATTACTGATGTAGCAATTACAGTAGTAAGGATGGCACTTTTGAGACCTTTTCATACATTTTCAGCTTCGTTGTTTTAACTTTACTTTGTATGTATAGATGTTTTCTGCATGTTTGTCTAGCAGCACATGTGTATGACTGCCCTCAGAAGCCAAAAGAGGGCATCAAAACCCTGAGACTGGATGGTTGTGAGTGGCCATGTGGGTGCTGGAAATTGAACCTGGGTCCTCTGGAAGGACAGCAGTGCTCTTTACTGCTAAGCTTTCTTTCTCAACCCTTCAGCTGAATTTCAAATGACTAAGCAGTAGATATTAAATTGCCCATGACCGTGTTTCCTTCAGGTTTCTAGTGGAGCCATGTGACTCTTGGAGTCTTCAGCCTGCTGCTCATTGTGCTTATGTCATTGGGCATTGTCTTGTGGAATCTTTCCCCTTTGTGCCCATACAGGGACTCCTGGTGTAACTCTTTACTCGTCTGTACATGACGCCATATTTTAACAACAGGCTTTCTGAGGAAGCCAACCAAAAAGAACATTATTTGTTTGTTGAGATGAGGACAGGATGGGAGATAGGCAGTGTGCCGTCACACTAGTGTGGATGAGAGAGCCTCTGACCATGTGAGTCCCAGGTTGTCAGGCTTAGGAGCATGAGCCATTACCAGCTGAGCTGTTTTGTCACCTCTGATGTTAGTGATTCTAAATAGTGGTTGTTAAGGACTCCAATACCTCAGTCCTTCTCCTTAGTCACTTTTACCTGACACATAGTTCCTCGGTATTTCTTTCTGACAGTCTCATTATGTAGTTCTGGTTGGTTTGGAACTCACAGAGATCTACCTATCTCTGCCCCCCTAGTGCTGGGATTAAAGGAGTTCACCACCACACCAGACTGATCAGTGTTTCTTTGTTATGACTTTAACAAGAAAGTTATTGGAAGATTTATCTTGTGTTGTAGAATGTTCTTTAGTTGATGTTTTATTCCTTTCAGTTAGCTTAGGTTCTGTGTATCCATTAGTGTACTGCATATGTGCTTATCCTTCCCAGATGGTTATGTGCCTATCAGCCTTTTATAAGTAGTGTTAATTTTGGTCAGTTGATAGCAGTGTGGTCTGGTTTCTCTGTGTATAAATACCTTACCTCATTTAGATCATAAGCTACTTTTAGGGGGCTGGGGAAACCATGAAACCATGTAGTGATACCCCATTTTTTTAGCAAACATTTTAAAATGAGCATCTATGATGCTTGCCGGAATCAGTCTTTACTGTGGTAGTTACAACGTGGTGGTGTCCCTACTGTATTTCGAATGTGGCGTTCTAATGTATTCAGGAAGGTCTTTTCTTTTTGGGGGATTATGGATCACTGTATTACCCATTCTCAGATCACACCTCAGTATTGGCTGAGTGGATGCTCCTTTAAACTTGATAACTATGTCTCTTAGATGAGTGGTTAGGGTTCTTTCTGGGGCAACAAACCCCTACCTCATTTTTGTACCTACCCTCCTCAGCTCAGGAATTATCCCCTCCCTACCCGCCAACAACCCCAATGGAGACTAGAATTTAGAAGTCCAAGTCTGGGTCTTAGTGTGCTCATTGGCTGTTGTGGCACTGCTTTTAGACTTCTCAACAGACAGGACTTGGAAACATTACGTGCAGTGTTGTAGAAATACCTCCAGTTTCAAGTCAACCCCCGAAGGATTCCTGTTTTGTTTTGTTTTTTTCTTCTTCTTCTTTTTTTTTTTTAAAACCTTTCTTCGGTTGCTTTTTCTTTTTTTTTAATGGGTGGGAGGTGGTAGAATGCTTGCCCAGGATACACAGTACTCTGAATTTAGTTCCCAGTATCACACACATAAAACTTCCTATGTTTCCCCATGGTGAAAACCCTGTCTCCTGATATCATTTCATCTAGTTGTTGCATAAAGCAGCTTCAGGGCTGGGGGAGGGTTGGGTCAGATATGCTAAAGATACAGTGTCAAAGAAAAGCTTTAAAAATGTCGAATGCTGTTTTGTTTTGTTTTTTAAATTTACTCCCCCGCCCACAGCACACACACCCGTAGGAAATAAACCTTAGCTTTTCCAGATTTGACTCTTACTTCCATGTTTAGAGTGTGGGTGGATTCCAAGTATTTAAAGCTAAACTTGGATTTAGGTATGGTGACACATACCTGTAGGCCAGATGGTGGCAGGACGATCAGAAGTTCAAGACAAGGCTCAGCTACATATCTAATTTGAGGCTAACATGGGCTATAGGAGACACTGTCTCAAAAGAAACAAAGTTCAATACAGGGGATGGCAAGATGGCTCACTGGGTCAGGCGGTACTTGTTGCTAAATCTTATGACAAGAGTTCAATCTTTGGGACCATATGGCAGAATGAATCAGTTTCTCAATCATTGTCCTGATCGCCACATATGCATCACCCCCAATGTAAGAGAAATGTAGTTTTAAAACATTTGGTTAAAAAGTTATGTAGATTAGCCTTCTCTTGACCCATAAAATAAGTTTATGTTGTTGGATGTATAGTATTAGTTGGCTGTATATGTTTCTGTTTGCATAAATTTAAGAGACCCCCTCCAATTTTGTTGACTTAACTTTTTGAATATGTAGAAAATATTAAAAATAAAATCAACACAGTAAACCATTCTTTAGGAAGTTTCCTCTTTAAAAAAAAAAAAATCTGTTTTCCTCCACCCTTCGTAGGTAAACTATTTTTATTGTTTTCTTACAGTAAAAATTTTACTTCCCTTCCTACATTTCTTTTGCAGAAGTGGCAGGTATGTGTTTCAGTCCCTTTTTGTTCTTACAAATAAATAAATAAATAAATAAATAAATAAATAAATAAATAAATAAGACAATATGATATAGACCCTCCCTCTTCATAAGAGATTCAAACTGCTTTGTCCAAATTGCTTTTGATTTTTAGGTGAGGAAATGAAGGTTTGATACTTTTACCTGTAGAGCCATCTCCAGTCTGCTCTGCTCTCCTCACCTTTGCTTATCACTGTTTCTGAAATGTGTCCTGTGAGAGTTATTTTTTTTATTTTATTCTCATTTTTTCTGTTGGGTTTAATTGTATAGATCTGTGGCATTTTCTGTTTATAACTGTATTTTAAACATAAGAAAATATTTAAGGTGTGCATCTTTTAAGCAGGCGGTCAGTCTGACCAAGGCTATGGTTCCAAGGATGAGCTAGTAAAGGAGGATGCAGAGGTTCCTGCACCTGAGGAGTGTGAGTCACAAGAACTGACTGCCACAGAGCTGCACATTGAAGGCAAGTACTGATGTTTGTGAGCATTGAGTGAAAGCATGCTCAGATTGCTTTATTTTACTTGATTTCAGCAGTAATTATTAGGAATTTAAGGCCTACTTCATTAGATTTTAGTAGACTTTAGAAAGTTTGTAGATCATCCTTAATTTTGAAAAAAAAATGACGTTTGTTAGATAATTTTTTTGACAAAACTAGGACTAATAACTTTTGTTGTATTTTGATCTTGAACTCCTGTTCCTCCCACCTCTGTCTTAAGAGGGACAATAGGCATATGCCAGTCACTATGCCCAGCAAGCAGTAAGACTAAACTTCTGAGCTGTCAAAACTGATACTTCCTGTTCTTTGTCCCTTCTCAACTTCAGACCTGAGGGTTATTCCCAGGATCTCAGAAGGTAAACACTGCATGCTCAGGCCATGGGTTCCTTTGACACACACCGCCACACCCGTTGCCAAGACAGGGTTTCTCTGTGTTACAGCCCTAGCAGTCCTGGAACTAGCTCTGTACACCAGGCTGGCCTTGAACTCCTTTGCCTCCGTAGTGCTGGGATTAAAAGGTGTGCATCACTCCACCCAGCTATAATACTTATTTTGTGCTCTAGAGTTATAAATAAGCTACTTGATAATGGAAGAAATAGAAATCAAGGCCAAGAGCTTAATTGATTTACTGAGAAATACTCAAGTCCTGATTATTGAGTGCTAGAGTAAAACACTGTGTCAGTCAGTACTCTTAGTATTGATGATATAAAGTAAGCCAGATCCAGTAAGTCAGTGAAGAATAGTGATGTACTCGTCCCTACTTGAAGAAAGACTACATCCATATGTTAAAAAAAAATCTCTGTTTTCTGATCATTATTGTCAAAAGTAGGAATGGTAACATCCAAATATTTTTTCTCAGAGGTGTGTGATGTGTCTGCCATTGTCTCAAAATCATCACAACCTAGTCCAGAACCTCAGAGTCCTACTGAACCTCCTGCATGGGGCAGCAGTATTGTGAAAGTTCCATCTGGGTTATTTGACACCAACAATAGGACAAGTAGTACTGGTAAGTAGAAAATGACCTTCATCCACTTTGGAAATAGAGCCTCTCACCTTGTAGTCAAGCTGACCTTGATCTTGGCATTTTCTCCACCATGCCCAGCTAGAGTGTCTTTAAAGCTATTAGTTCTGCTTGCTTATTATAATGGACACACTAGGAAGCCATGAATGAGACTATATTCTATAAGTGGGCTAAAGTTAAAATTTGTGACTCAGAGGGACAATTGAGAGTCTTGCATGGTGGCACACATACACAAAAGTAATATGGAATAGTAATTTAAAGCAGACATGAGAAAATATGTAAGTTATATGAAAATGCCATTTTATATGAGGGAATTGGGCATTGGTGTGTTTTAATTGTCACCTGTTTTAACCTTTGAAGGATTGGTGTGAGGTATGTTTGTTAACATGGTGTGCTTTTCTTGCTGTGGTACCTGATCTCGGTGGTCATTCCTTTCATCATAGATAATGGGAGTACTATAAGGTCTCCTGTGCTTGTCGAGAACAGAGGCAATGATTTGAACAGACCCCAGCACTGGGGAGGCAGAGGTCAGCCTGGTCTACATAGTGAGTTCCAGCACAGCCAGGACTATACAGAGAGACTCTGTCTGGAATGAAGAATGAATGAGAGAGAGAGAGAGAGAGAGAGAGAGAGAGAGAGAGAGCGAGTCAGAGACAGAGGATGGATGGATGGATGGATGGATGGATGGATGGATGGATGGATGGGATTGAGGCAGGAACAGAGTCTTGAATGTAGATCCCAGGCTGACCTTGAACTTGCAGTGATCACTTAGCTTTCACCCATTGCCACAGTGATTTACAAGCATGAACTAGCTACCATGCCTGACTTGATAGAGTGTATCTTGATCTTAGAAGATTTATTTCATAAAGAAAGGAAGAGGTGTTAATGGGACTATTTTAAAATTGAAAATAAACTGTGCTAATAATCTATGGAACTACAATGAGAGCCTGAGTACATTTTATTCTTTTCATACATTACATCCTGACTGCATTCTCTCCTCCCTCCACTCCTCCCTGTCCCTTCCTCCTCATCTCCTCTCTCACCCAGATCCATTCCTCATCAGTTTCCCTTCCAAAAAGAAAAGAAAAGTGTGGGCCTCCCAGGGATATTAACCAAACATAGCATAACAAGTTACGATAAGACTAGAGAGCCTGAATAATTACAAAGACATATTCCTAATGTATTGAGAAAGGTGTCAAAGTGAGTTTATTTTTAGAGTGTAATAGGTTACTTTAATTCCTCTAAAACCTTTTAAAACTTTTCTCAGTGCTTATGACTAATTGACATTTTTTTTAAATTTGCCAAAGAACAAATTTAGTATAAATTATTTTAAAAACAAACAGTTCACAAATATATAAAAAACAATTCAACCAGTTTGAAAGATTAAAACTAAAGCAATACATTCAAAGACATAAAATGAACCTAACAATTTTTTTAATTGAAAAAAAAAAAAGATCACTTGCTTCCATAAAACAGACTTCTGGCATGTTTTTATTTACCTAATGGCTCAGTCTGTTTTAGTTGCCATTGTTTTCTTAGCACCTCATATAGTTAATAACTAGTAGGCATTCACATATTTGCTATAGGATCAAATACAAAATTCACTAAGGATTTCATGAACCTTTTAAGAATTTTTCTGATTTTTTTTTAACTTTGAAGCATTTCTTTTACTTTGGTTTAGTAATGCTTTGACTGTAACAAATGTGTAATTTCTCCATAATTACAAACGTGTGTGTGTGTGTGTGTATGTGTGTGTGTGTGTGTGTGTGTGTGTGTATGTGTTTATGTGTGTGTGTTATCAAGCCCAATTCTTTTTTTTTATCCTGAGTAAGTGCTCTACCACTCATCTATATCCCCAGCTTTCTGGCAAGTATTTGCTGACTTGGATAGATGAAAGTTAAATTAGAAGAGAGTATTTCTTTTGGAGTCTGGTATTTAACACATTATTTTTTGTAAATTTACTCTTAAAATTTAAGAAGCATAGGCATATGTTTGTTGATAAGGGTGACAATGCAGGCATATCCAGTATGGACTGCATGCTATGTTTTCATAGAGGAGGAGGGTAGATGTTTAAATGTTACCTATAAGAGGCAGGCTTGGGTAGATTTGGGGTGTACTTCACCACACCTTTTATATAGTTGCTAGATGAAAACCAGGCATCCTAACTGCTAGACCCCATGGGGGATGCTGCTTCTATACACCTTCCAGATCCTCTATGTAGCTTTGCTATGGGCATAATCAGAATAATAATCATTTCATTTGTTACTTTGGAAAATACTGATGTTTCACTTTAATATATTACTGCCCCCTTTAGGTAGTACATCAAACATGCTATTTTCTACTCAAGCTCTAGTTGAAGATTCAGTCTTTGGTGAGGTTACTAATTTTAAGAAGAATGGTGATAGAGGAGAAAAAAGACAGAAGCATTTCCCAGAGAGGAGCTGTAGCTTCAGTTCCGAAAGTCGAGCGGGGATGCTGCTGAAGAAGAGCAGTTTGGATCTGAACTCCAGTGAAATGGCTACCATGATGGGAGCAGATGCCAAGATCCTCACAGCAGCACTGACATGTCCTAAGACTTCTCCACTTCGTGTCTCCAGAACTCATAGCTTTGAGAATGTTACCTGTCATCCAGCTGATTCCAGGACTCGCATGTCAGATGGCACTTGGGATTGTGAGCACAGATCATCTCCTGTGCTAGAGATGTTGGAGGAAAGCCAAGAGCTCCTGGAAACTGTGGTTGATAATAATGTTGCAGAGACTTCAGCAAAGGTTACATGTGACAGTCTACAGAATGATAGTGACAATAACCAATCCAGAGACAGGAAAGCAGGATCCCAAGATCCAGTGAATAAGAGAAATAGTTCATATGCTGTGGGGAAAGCCATTGAGAGGGAAGATGTTGAAATTGGACTAGATCCGTTGTCTCTATTAGCCACTGAATGTGTAGAAAAAACTTCTGATTCTGAAGATAAGTTTTCTCCAGATAAGTTTTCTCCAGTAATTTCACGTAATCTGGCTGATGAAATTGAAAGTTACATGAACCTAAAAAGTCCTCTGGGTAGTAAATCTTCTAGTATGGAATTGCATGGAGAGGGAAACCAAGAGTCTGGCTCTGCTACTACATTTGCTCACCCTTTAGAAAGGAGATCGAGTCTGCCCTTAGAACATGGCCCACCAGCCCAAGACAGTCCAGACATTGAGAAAAGCTCCCCTACAGTGTCCAGATCTAAAACATTGACGGGGCGTTTCAAGCCACAGACTCCTTATCGCACTTACAAAGACCGGTCCACTTCTTTATCAGCATTAGTGCGTTCTTCACCAAATAGCTCTCTGGGTTCTGTAGTAAATTCTTTATCAGGGCTAAAGTTGGACAATATACTCTCAGGACCCAAGATAGATGTCCTAAAATCTAGTATGAAACAAGCAGCAACAGTAGCCAGTAAGATGTGGGTGGCTGTCGCATCTGCCTACAGCTACTCAGACGACGAGGTAAGAATATACTACTGCATAGTCTGTCTAATATAGGAATGTTTGTAGTGCCTTAGTGTATATATTTGTGTTTGTATAATCTAGAGATTTCTGTTAATGGTATTTTTATATCTTAAAACTTTATACATGACTTAAGACAATTAATTATGTAAAAATACAGTGTCAGAATTGCCGGGCATGTTGGCAGTCACCTACAATCTCAGAGCTTGGGAAGTAGAGGCATGAAGATCGAGAACTCAAGGCCATTTTTGGATATGTAGTATGTTTAAGGCCAGTCTGGACCAAATGAGATCTGTCTTAAAAAGGAAAAATGGGAGGCTGGAGAGATGGCTCAGTGATTGGTGGCTCACAGCTGTCTGTAACTTCACTTCCAGAGGATCTTGTATCATTGCTGGTCTCCACATGTATTGTACACAAGTGGTGCAGTCATACATGGAGGCAGAACCCCCATGTACATAAAAAACTTAAAAACTAAAATATGTATTAAACACAAGCAATAGAAGATTTACTAATTAGGTAATAATACATAAGTAAAGTGATTAGTGCACCTAGGGCGTAACCCAGTCTTTTGAAATAGGTCACTTTGAGAGGGGACAGTTTTTGAGCACCCCATCCGGTTGGTCACTTTTTGAATATCTTAAACTATGTAAGTTTTAAAAGTCAATTGAAATAGCTTTAAAGTTTTGAAAAAACAGGGGTTATTTTCTCTAAGATGTGGAGTTTGATTCTGAAAGGAGCAGTGAATATATTTCTATTGCAGAAAACATTATTTATATATGTGGGTTTTATTCTTTTTAAAGGAAGAAACTAATAAAGATTATAGTTTCCCAGCCGGCCTAGAAGATCATATATTGGGGGATAATGTATCATCTAATGCAAGTATCTCAGGACTGGTTCCCAGTGAACTTACCCAGAGCAACACAAGCCTTGGCAGTAGTAATAGCAGTGGAGATGTTGGAAAACTGCAGTGTCCAACAGGTATGGGAAGATTGTCTTTTGAGTTTTGTGTTTTGCTTACTTTTACTTATTTGTGGTGCTGAAGATTGAATAAAGGCATGTGCATATAGGGCAGCAGTTCTACCACTTAGCTACACTTGAACTCACTTTTAATTTAAATGTCCATAACCCTTCATCCCCATATACCCATTGTATATGATGTATACATGTATATGTATGTATATGATATCTAAGTACTGTTAACACATATTGTCAACCAAATCATCAGTTAGGGATTCTCTCTCTCTCCCCCCTCTCCTCTCCCTCTTGCTCCCCCTCCCTCCCTCCCTCCCTCCCTCCCCTCCTCCCTTCCTTTTACCATCCCTCCCTCCCTCCACCTTTGGCTAAAGCCTTTATGACTGAATTTATGGAATGGGACCTTGAAAATACACATTTTTTAACTTGTTCTCTGGGCAAATTAGTGATTGAAAGATTTTAAGGATCTTTGGGGATACAATTGCAATTTCAAGAGAGAATTTTTGCCTTTTTTTTTTTTTTTTTTTTTTTTTTTTGGTTTTTCAAGACAGGGTTTCTCTGTGTAGCTTATCCTGGCACTCGCTTTGGAGACCAGGCTGGCCTCAAACTCACAGAGATCGTCTGCCTCTGCCTCCCAAGTGCTGGGATTAAAGGCTTGTGCCACCAACGCCCAGCCTGAATTTTTTGCCTCTTATTAAAAACAACTATTATCTTCTCTTTTTTTCTGATTCTTTGAGACAAAAGTCTCATCATGTAGCACAGGCCTGCACCCCATAATTCTCCCCCAATTCCAAATACTGTCATTACAGGTATACACTTGTAATCATCTAAATTGTCATTAGGAATAGGAAAAGTTGAGAGAATTATGTAATAAACAGTTATATATCCTCTACTTTTATTTTATCAATGTTTCTATTTATGAGCACACATACATTTATATAGTGAACCATCTGTAAATACCAGATTTTATGGTACCTCTCTCCTTAATACTTTAGTATATATTTCCAAAACATTGAGAATATTCTCCTACATTATGTGTTCTATTTCTTACTCCTCTTTAGGTGAAGTTCCATTTTCAAGAAACATCAAAGGGCAGGACTTTGAAAAATTAGATCATGGGTCTTCGCAGAATACCAGTATGTCTAGCATCTATCAAAATTGTGCAATGGAGGTAAAGATTCTGTAGTATGTGTGCTAAAGTGACTGTAAACATATTATTATCTTGTACTAGTACTTAATAGGATTCAATGGGATCCATGTGAATAGTTGTATGAGTGCTTGATATCTTTGACGCAATAGACTGGTAGTTTTGTCTATAATATAGAAGAGATGTTAACCCCAGTTGAAACAAGTAGAATAACTAAAATTTCATTATATTTCAGTAGAATAGACCATTAAGATTCATTTACACCATAGAAACTCTCAGTGTCCTACTTTCCCTTTAGGTTTTGATGTCAAGTTGCTCTCAGTGTAGAGCTTGTGGAGCTCTGGTTTATGATGAAGAAATCATGGCTGGATGGACTGCAGATGATTCAAATTTGAATACAACCTGTCCATTCTGTAAAAGCAACTTCTTGCCTCTTCTCAATGTAGAATTTAAAGACCTAAGAGGCTCTGCCAGGTTAGTATTGTGCAAACTCCCACAGGAGGTATGTGCCCTGAAGTCATGGCTCTTCGGGTAAAGGTAAAACATTCACAGCTGGGTCCATAACCCTTCATCCCCACATACCCATTGTACTCTGAATGTATATGATATCTAAGTACTGTTACACATATTGTCAACCAAATCATCAGTTAGGGATTCTCTCTCGCTCCCTTCCCTCCCTCCCTCCCCAGAAAGTCCTGGATCTTCACTGGTTTGCTATGTTGGGCATGACTGATCTTTCCCTGTTCTCTTGCATTCATGGACCGGGTTCTATCCTGTATTCTTGTGTGTGAAACTGACTTCCTTCACTACCTTAAGAATTTAATTGTCATGAATTGCCTTGATTTGTTTGTCTTGTGATACTCTTTAATTAATTTTTATGTGTATGAATGTTTTGGTTGTGTATATGTCTATGCGCCACATGTGTGCCTGGTGTCCTCCAGTACTAGAAGAGGGCATTAGATTCCTTGGAACTGGAGTTACGGTTGTGAGCCACCATGTGGATGCTGGGAATCAAACCTGGGTCTTCTAGAAAAGTATCCAGTGCTCTTAACTACTGAGCTAGCTCCGTCTTGAAATATTCTTACTTCTCCATGTTGTTGTTGTTTTTATTATTTGGTTGGTTGCTTTGGGACTGGGAAAAGAACTCTTGGTTGACAAGTATTTAGTTCCAAGATTTGGAATATATTATTTATTTCATATTTTCCTGGCTGTTAGGGTTGCTGGTGGCAAATCTGTTATTCTGATGTTTCTGCCTGTATATATTAACTAGTGATTTTTCTTTCCCAGCTTTTAGTATTGTTACTTTGTGGTTTTTTTTTTTTTTTTTTTTTTAGTTTGTATGTGTGTGCACGCACGTGGTCACACACTTGCAGGGCAAAAGAGGGTGTTGGACCCCATGGTGTTGTCATGAAAGTGAATACAGCATCCCTTGCCAGGGGTTTCAGATGTTGGCAGGATGAATGTGGAAATTGTCACCCAGGGAAGTAAACCCCAAAACTGAAGTGATAAATAGTTGCATCTTGGCTTCATCTCAGTAGGACTGTTGGAGGAGGTTTTATCAGCATCTTCTCCTTCAACATTCCTGTCTGGATCCTGACCAACATCTTCCCACATAGAGTGAAAGGAGACCCTGGCCAATGAAAACTTGGGTTTAGACAGATTGAGACCACTTGATCCACCGACTTTTCCTGGAAGTTCCTTGGTGTCCTTGCTGTTGTATTATGCCTACTGGCCAGCTTCTTTCTACACATAGTGTGATGCTGTTCATTCCTCAGTACTTCAATGCTACCCAGAGTACTATTGACTGAGCTAGCCTAATTCCACAGGGCTTGTCTCTTTGGAATCAAATACTAAGGGATGGGCTTGAAAGGGCTCTCCAAGCTTTGAAAGGTGCTGATGCAAAGAGCTATCATGTTTATATTTTCTTCACACTGTCTTTTGTATCTGGAAAGCCTGAGTGACCAACCTTTTTGGAACTTCAAGTGTGGGGGTCTCTGTGAACACCATGACCAGCAGAATTCTAAGTGGCTGATGTCAATTCAAACTTTGGGACTCTGACCCCAAGTAGTTTATTTTAGGTATATATAGCACAGCATAATTTATTGAAACTCTTCCTAGTGTTAACTCAGTCCTCTGTATACAGTAAAGCTTAAGAAATGAGTACATTCGGGCTGGAGAGATGGCTCAGAGGTTAAGAGCACCGACTGCTCTTCCAGAGGTCCTGAGTTCAATTCCCAGCAACCACATGGTGGCTCACAACCATCCGTTATGAGAAGCAGAATGTTGTATACATAATAAATAAAATATATACAAAAAAGACATTAAAAAAAAAGAAATGAGTACATTCATCCGGGCAGTGGTGGCAGACACCTTTAAACCCAACACTCGGGAGGCAGAGGCAGGTGGATTTCTGAGTTCAAGACCAGCCTGGTCGCTGGGCAGTGGTGGCGCACGCCTTTAATCCCAGCACTTGGGAGGCAGAGGCAGGCGGATCTCTGTGAGTTGAGACTAGTCTGGTCTACAAGAGCTAGTTCCAGGACAGCTTCCAAAGCCACAGAGAAACCCTGTCTCGAAAAACAAAAGAAAAAAAAAGAAGAAGAAGAAGAAAGAAGGAAGAAGGAAGAAGGAAGAAGAAGAAGAAGAAGAAGAAGAAGAAGAAGAAGAAGAAGAAGAAGAAGAAGAAGAAATAATGAGTACATTCAAACTCTCTGTGAAGTACATGTGACATAAAGATGGGTTCTGTAGATTGACAAGCTCACTATAAGAGTCTGACCTGGCCACACCAGATCTGTTAACCACATATACTCCCAGCCTTCTGGATGGAAAACAGGTTATACATCTCTCTGAAGGGACAACCCTATGAATTTAACATTTGCTGGTTTCCCTAGTGCTTATTTGTGAGTACAAGGACTTCTGTGACTCCCATATCCCCCCCACCCTTTTTTTAAATGTTTTAAAGGATTGTAGCTATAATAGAGGCCAAGGTTGATTGCATTGCTTACATGGCTAGTCTAATATAGGCAAACATAACAAAATTATAAAGAGTAGCTAACAGAGGACCAAGGAAAGGGGAAAGCCACCTTCACCATGATGGCCATGCAAAGCTGACTTGAGAGATTTTTATCTCCCTATGCAGATCATTAATTTGACCATCGTTAGTGTGAGAGAAATCTGACACATTAAAGCAACTCATGCCAGGGAATTGATGACACCCTCTAAGATTGTGCTTGAGCAATAGATAATACAAAGTAGTTCTAGTTTGTAAAACTAGAACTCACCCATCTCTTGATTAATTTCTGCTCATATTTTTGCTTTGACAGTAGTAGCCTTACTAATTATACAGGCCATATTTGAGACCTTTACCTGTATTCTAGTAATCATTTCTAGAACCCACAATAAAAAAGCTGTTGTGGCTGTAACCATTACAGGAATCAGTAGATGCAAAGAATCATCATAATTTTGGGGGAGAGCTCTCTTAATTCTGTAGAGCTATTACAAAAATTTACTAAGCAAAGTGGGTGTAATATGGCCTATCACACATGAACTTTTTGCTTGTTTTTTGAGACAGATTTCTCTGTGTAACCGCCCTTGCTGCCCTAGAACTAGCTCTGTCAACCAGGCTGGCCTCAAACTCCCAGAGATCTACCTGCCTCTGCCTCCCGAGCGCTGGTATTACAGGTGTGCACTCCCACCTCAACCTTTGTAACCCATAGGAAGGTCAGAAGAAGCATATTCACCAGAAAGAAAAAAAAAAAAAGTCCATACCAAAGGCAATCATTTACCAGAGGGAAGGGTACTATTAGAGTTGGAATTGCAAGGGCAGGATATAAATACATTTAAATTATAAACAATGTGAACTGAAAAAACAAAAAATCACCATTGACAGGGATATCAGGGGGACCCTGATGTGTTTTGAATGAAATGGCCCTCATAGGCTCATAGTGGTGGCAATATTAGGTGGTGGCCTTTGTTGGAGGAAGTGTGTTATTGGCCATGGATTTGAGGTTTCAGAAGCTCAAACTAGGCCCAGTAGCTCACCCTTTTCCTGCTGCCTGCTGATCTAGATGGAGAACTCTCAACTACCTTTCCAGCAGCATGTCTGCCTGCATGCTACCATGATGGCAGTGAACTAAATCTCTGAACTGTAAGCCAGTTCCAATTAAATAGTTTACTTTAGAGCTGGGCATGGTAGTGGATGCCTTTAATCTCAGCACTCAAAAGGCAGAGGCATGTGGATATCTGAGTTCAAGGCCAGCCTGGTCTGTAAAGACAGTTCCTGGGTAGCAAGTGTTGCCTCAGTCATTGGTGTCTCTCCACAGCAATAAAACCCTAACTAAGACACCTATGAATATGGGTGCAAGTGCTCTCTTATTTTGTCCCCTTACTTGTGCATAGTGCTTATGAGTAACTCCTATGCCATATAAATTTCCTTTTAAGAGCCTAGGAATAGACAGGTCTCTTCTGATACAAAAAGGTTGTTCTTGTTGACTGCAATGTGGCAAATGAAGCCAGAGGTTTTTAAATCTTCATACAACTAAAATTTCCACTTTCTAAAGCTTTCTAAACTTAATTATGCTAAAATCTGTATTTTGTTTGGACCAATCAGTTAAATTAGTGCAACCAAAATATTCTCCATCCATGTGACTAAATATTTGTATTCCATCCTTTGTGCAGACAACTTGTTCCCAAAAGGGGGAAAAATAATCATTAGCATGGCAAAACATCATACTGTCTCCTATTACAGGCATGCCTTTTATTCCTCTGACAAAAGGCATTTGGATTCTGTACTGACAAGCTGAGAATTAACATGTAATATAGTCAGTAAACATAACAACATCATTTTTGGGTCAGTAGTATTGTGCCCTTGTTGTCTCCCCAAGTTCTCAGCTCGATGAGTTAGCCTTGATGTCTCCTCAAGTCATTGGCTTACTCTGCCTTTTGGGGCATCTCCTCTTGATGGGTTTGTTGTCTATTTTAAGATGCTTCATTTGTCCAGTGGTCTCCGGGATGCTAGCCTAATCAGATGCATCAGATCACAAGCCATCTGGGACCTCGTTCATTTTCTGGAAAGACACAAGCATAACCTTTTCCTGATGTTTGGAGAACATCAGGCCCTTTCATTGATTAGTTTCTATATCTTTCCATTTAACATATACTTTAGTCTGCAGCAGAAGAAGCATTATCCTTTAACGTGAAAAAATTTAAAGTTAGCATAGCTAAATGTAGCATAGTATGTGAGTGTATATAGCTCTTTTTATTTTTAAGGTTTGCAGATTAGTTATTTGGTGGTGTTCCACAACAGCTTGACCCTGTGAGGGACTCCAATAACATAATTACTATTCCATAAATTAAAATTCTTTAAAGAATTTGCTAGTATAAGCAGGGCCATCTTCATTTTTTAGTTTCATTGGGAGTTGTAGAAAAGAAAAGGTGTATAAAATGATTAATATTATCTGAGATTATTTTGGTTGTGAGCAGAAGCAGCAATTAAATTAGAAAAATACCAACTGTTACATGAACATACTTTAAAATCCTGTTGTAGGCAGTGTTTCTCTGTGTCCCAGCAGCTGCTACAACAACCACAGAGACTTAATATTAACTATAAATGTTCAGCCGATAGCTCAGGCTTGTTACTAGCTAACTCTTACATTTTAAATCAACCCATATTTTATCCACCTTCTGCCATGTGCTGGTACATTCTTTCAACATGGCACATTCATCTTGCTTCTCTTTGCGTCTGCTAGAGACTCCTCAGACTCTACCCTTTTCCTTCCCAGCATTCTCTCTGCCCCTAAAACTCTGCCTTGCTATTGGCCAATCAGCTTTTTATTTATAATGAGAGCAACACATTTTCACAGTGTAGAGAAGAATTATTAAACAGCATCTGATTCTCCTGCATTCAAGTGAGAAGAAATTGGAAAATGGGACTCCTAGGTGCAGCCCTCACAGGGTTAAGATTCTTTGAATTAGGCAAATATAAATGGTCAAAGGACATAGCACTCTCCCCTTGTAACAAGAAGCCATTCATGTTTGGGCAGCTTATTTGGCAGTTGTTTCCATATCTTCTATTTCTATAACCTTCAAGTTCTGGTTTGGATGTATTTTGCTAAAGATAGTTCAAACAAACAAAAAAAACCCAACAACCTAGAATCTACATTTGACATTCTTCAACCTTCATGATCTGATAGCTTGCTGTGAGCTGGTGTCCTTTGCCATAACTGTGTATACATCTGCGTTGGGAATCTGCAGATGCTGAAGGACAATACATAGCAAGAACTGGAGCAGCTATAAGCCTGGCTGCTTCCCTGAGCTGAGAAAGGTGAAGAAAAGTCAGAACATTGATATGAGCCGCAGTGATGCCTGGTTCACAATGTGCTGCTAAGAGTGAATGGTTGGATTTTCTCAGTATTTTAGTATTGAGGAGAAATCATTACTTTTGATACAGTAGTGCATTAATTTTGTGCCTTATGAGTTGTACTTTGGGAGTTTTCTCTTTAAAGTTTTTCCCCATGCATAAGTAAGATTTTCTCCCTGAATCTTCATCTCCTGGTTTTATTGTCATTTGCAGTGGAAGAGATTGAAGTCTGGGCTTTGCACATGCTGGGCTCAATATTATTTTTACTTCTCTGGCATTTAAGTCTTTACCTAGGACCCTCCTTTATGGATGATGGCAGAAATCCAGCTTTTGTTTTCTGTATATAGCAAACTACTTATCCCAACATGTAGATTTTCTGTCTTTTGCTAATGGATTTGTGGTATCAGCTTTATCACGAGGCTCTCTGGTTGAGCATTTTTGTGTTTATTTTGTGAATACATTATTTTTATTACTGAACCTTTGTGTCTGGTAGGCAAAGGATGTTCCTTCTTTGGGATTTACAGTTATTCTTTCATGTAGACTTTGAGGCCAACTTGGAATTCCTTCTCTTCAAAAGCTTACAGTCTTCATTGAGATTGTAAGAGTTATAGGCTAACTTGGGGAAAATGACTTTTTCAAAATTTTTTTTCTTACCTAATGAGCATATTTTTCTCCATATTTTCATAGATCTTTTATGACGTTTACTAGAGCTTTCAACATTGCTTCAAATGTTCTTAAACTTTTATGTTGATGTAATTGCATCTTTAAGCTATAATTTTAGGAGTCTTTCATACTTGCTAACTGGGTATAATGGAACATTAATAATAAATTCCTAAATGTTCTCCTCATACTCTCCAATTAATTTGGGAATGGTGGTAAGACAGGGTTTCTCTGTATAGCCCTGGCTGTCCTGGAACTCACTCTATAGATGAGGCTGGTCTCGAATTCAGAGATTTGCCTACTGGGATTTAAGGTGTGTGCTATCACCATCTGCTTTCTAGTTAACATTTTAATATATCTGTTTTAACAGCTATCAGTCTCTCCATCTCTTTATTAATCTCTTACACCTTTATTCATTTAAAAGTAAAGACCAGATATGATGGCTGGATTTCCAGTACTTGGGAGGCTGAGGCAAAGGGTTGCTTTAAGTTTAAGGTCAACTTGGGCTAAAGTGAGTCCCTGTCTCAGAAGCAACAGCAAAGGGCTGAGAATGGCTGGCTCAGTGGGTAAAGGCACCTGCTCCCACACCTGTTGACCTGAGTTTGATCTCCAGGATCTTGCATCACATTAATAATAGGGAAAATTAAAATATTTTAAATCAAATAAAACAAGGTTAAGATGTTAATGTACCTCTTGATTTAAATGTGAGTGTCATTAACCACAGCATTACATACAATAAAATGGGCAAATTTAAAATATATCATTTGAAGAATAAATGTATACATTAGTGGAAATCAAACCCTTACCAAGAGTAAAACATTACCATTATCTCAGATAATAATGCCCTTTGCATGGCACTACCATCACATAGTGCCTACCCAGAGAAAGAAGGAAAGAGAAAACTAAGACTATAACATGGAGGTCTATAAAAGAGTATTACATTAAAGGGTAATGTAAATTATTACTATTATTGTTATTATTATTATTAATTAGTGTGTAGCACAGTATACCACAGGGTCAGAATGAAACATTATGCTCCTGGAACCAGCCTTCCAGCCTGCCTGCCTGCTTTCCTCCCCCATCTAGGTTTGGTTTGGGAGTTTTTGAGATGAGATCTTGTCAGGTAGCACAAGTTGAACTAGAACTCCAGGTCTCCCTGCCTCTCAGATTAAAGGCTTGTTGTGTTAGCATGCTTCTACTATATTTTAAAAGTTTTTTTAGCCTTATTTATCTTGTATGTAGGACTATTTTGTTGTCTTCATGTATACATGTGTATCATGTGTCCACCTGGTACCCAGGGAACATTGGAACTGGAGTTTGACAGATAGTTGTAAGCTACCATGTGGGTGCTGGGAACTCAAGTGCTCTAAATGTTGAGCCATCTCTCCACCCCTCATGCCTATGCCTTTTTTTTTTTTTTAACTTAGGAAATATTTTTGGAAATATTTTTTTCCATTGCTTCCTTTCATAGTGTCAGAAGCCAGAGCACCCTCTCCTTTGAAGATCTTAGGATGAAAAATGCGGGGAGTGCAGAAGTGTGTATCTGAGTAGGGAACACATCCCAACTAGTGATCATTTTATTATAAAGCAGCAATTCTAAGTAAGATCATGTGAGGAGTTAGGGATTTAAAAGAGAAGAATTGGTTAACACACCTTTAGTCCTAGTACTTGGGAGGCAGAGGCTGGAAAATCCCTGGGATTTGGAGTTGAAGGCCAACGTGGTCTACATACTGTTCCAGGCCAGCCAGAGCTTCATAGTAAGGCCCTGCTTTTAAAAATGTATGTTGTGGGTATGGGTGTGTGTTTGTATATGTGTGGAAACAGGCGTGTGTGGAGGTCACAGGGTGACTTCCTCCAGAGTTGTTTCTCTCCTTCCACTTTGGGTTCTAGGACTCCAACTCAGGTCCTCAGTTTTGCATAGCAAGCATGTTTACTCACTGAGATAACCTAGACTCTCGGGGGAAAAAAAATGTAAGGCTTTTTTTCTTCTTTCTTTCTGTTCCTTATTTAGCTTTTTCTTGAAACCAAGTACATCTGGTGACAGTTTACAAAGTGGCAGCATTCCATCAGCAAATGAACCCTCAGAACACAAACCTGTGTCCAGCTCAGCAGAACCTGACTTGATCAGCTTTATGGATTTCTCAAAACACAGCCAAACCATAATAGAAGAAGCAAGCTATGCAGTCAAATCAAGGTACCACTGGGTGCACAGAATTCACTGTAGGCAATGAAGTATTCTGTAAACATTGTGTATTTAAAGACAGCCTAGCTGGGCTTGAAGGTGCATGTCTGTCTGAGGGAGATTGCAAGTTCAAGGCCAATCTGTGCCAATCAGTGAGAGCCTGTCCATCCCTGTCCACAGCCAATGTTAATCAGATCATGTCTCTGTTCTTAGTTGGATCGTGGCCTGGTAGAAATTAAATGCCTCTCAGCAAATCTGTATTTGCATACATTTGAGTACTTCTTTGAGATTTTGCTAATAAAGATGAAATAATGTTTGAATAAAGCAACTGAATAGGCACTTAATTTTTTTTTTTTTTTAACTTACATCATGTCTTACACTCTTTACTAGTCAACTATCTGACCAGCTTTTGAAAATGCTTGGAAAATGTTTACTCATTTTATGGGGAGAAGGATGGTAGAGAATGAATGGTAAGGCTCACATGGGAGGCAAGTGCTCTACCATTGAGCCACACTTTAGCTTCACATTTAACTGGATTTTTTTTTTTTGTTAAGATTTATTTATTTTATGTATGAGTGCTCTATATACAAGTTCACCTTTATGCCTGAAGAGGGCATCAGACTACACTATAGATGGTTGTGAGCCACCATATGTTTGTTAGGAACTCAACTCAGGACCTCTGGAAGAGCAGTTAGTGCTCCGAACCACTGAGCCATCTCTCCAGCATCACATTTAATTCTAACAGATGTCAATTCAGGTGATTCAGGACATTAAATCCATTGTAGAAAATTCTTTACCTCTCTAGATTTCGATTGTTTTCATGACTAACAGCATTGCTTCATTTTTTTTTAAGTGATGAAATAAAGAAAACCAGTGTTGATGTTCAAAGTGTGAAAATTTCATCAGTGCCTAATAGTTTATCTAAACGAAATGCATCATTGACACAAAGTCATAGTGTTGGAGGTCCTTTGCAAAATATTGACTTCTCCCAGCGACCATTTCACGGCATTTCAACAGTTAGTCTTCCAAATAGTCTGCAAGAAGATGTGGTATGTATCATTGTAATCATACTGAATACTCTTGTAATATGACTTGGAACACTCCATAATTTCATGGTATCACATGAAAAGTGATAGGTACAATTTTTTTTTTGGTAACTCACACCTGTGTTTCCAGTACTCAAGAAGCTGAGACAGAAAGATTAAGGTGAGCTTGTGCTACATAGTGAGTTCTAGGCCTGGCAGAACTACATAGCAAGACACCCTGTCTTGCTGGGGAGATGGCTCAGCCATTAAAGTGCTGCTGCACAAACATGAGAACTTGCGTTCAGATCCCTGCCCCGGTGTAAGAAACAACATATCATGGTGCATGCCTAGTAATCCAGACACCATGTAGATGGAGACAGGAAGATCCTTGGGCCTGCTAGGCAGTCAGTCAAGCTGAATTGGTGAGCTTCAGGTTCAGTGAGAGACTTTGTCTCAAAAATAAGGTAGAGAATGGTTGAGGAAAATACCCAATGTCAACCTTTGGTCTCCACATGTGGGATTACAGGCATGTGCCATCATACCTACCTTAGACTTTTTAATATGGAAATTTTCAAAAATGTACAAAGTCTCACAGTGTAGGCAAGGCTAGCCTCAAAGTTACAGAGATCCTCCTGCCTCTGCCTCCCAAGTAATGTATACTACCACAACCAACTTTGTTTAATAAGTCTCTTGACGTAGTGTTTAAACTTTATTAATTTTCAGCTTATGGCCATTCTTTCAGGCACATCTTTATTCATTTTTACTTATTTTCTTGGTTTTTTTTTGTTTGGTTGGTTTTGTTTTGTTTTGTTTTTCAAGATAGGGTTTCTCTGTAGCTTTGGAGCCTGTCCTGGAACTCGCTCTGTAGACCAGGCTGGCCTCGAACTGCCTCTGCCTCCCAGTGATGAGATTAAAGGCGTGCACCACCAAGTTTATTCACTTTTCTATACCTAGATTATTTTGAAGGCAATTTCAAACAATATATATGCTATGGGTAAATATTTCAGCATATATCTGTAAATGATGACGTTAACAAATATAATCACAATGTTATTATCATACCACAAAACAGGTAGTCATTAGATATTCTGTCTTTATCTTGACTTTTAGTCATTATAGTAGTGTCAAACGTTTATATGGGGTAGGGTGTAGTTTTAGCCATCAGGGTGAATGAAGTAAAGTGTAGGCCTTGCAATTGGTTGGTAAACTTCAGTTTTTAAATTGTAGGCGCCTTTTTTCTCCTCATAATTTGTTTGTTGATACACCTAGATCCATGGGGGCTGGAGAGATGGCTCAGTGATTAAGAGCACTGGCTGCTCTTCCTGAGAATCTGGGTTCAATTCCCAGCACATGGCAGCTTAGAATGCCTGTAACTTCACCTCTAGGGAATCCAAAGCCCTCACTTTGATTTCACAGACACACAGGCAGGCAAAGCACCAGTGCACATAACATAAAAATAAATCTTTTTTTTTTTGTGTGTGTGTGTGTGTGTGTGGTTTTTCCAGACAAGGTTTCTTTAGCTTTGGAGCCTTTCCTGGCACTTGATCTGTAGTGCCTTGAACTCACCTAGATCCACCTGCCTCTGCCTCCTGAGTACTGGGATCAAACACCTGCATTACCACCGCCTGGCAAATAAAGCATTAAAAACAAAAAAAAAAAAAACAAAAAACAAAAAAAACAACTGGACCCATTCCCTTTAACTACTAGAAGTTCCCACAGTCTGAAACCTTACAGATTAGCATTTGAGTCTGGAAGCTTGGTAAGCTCTGGTATTTTGCTTTGTTTTAATTTTTTTCTAAAATTAACTTTCTCATAAAAACTTGGAAATAAGCCGGGCGTTGGTGGTGCATGCCTTTAATCCCAGCTCTTGGGGGGCAGAGGCAGGCAGATCTCTGTGAGTTCGAGGCCATCCTGGTCTCCAGA